CACCATCTGCAGTGCAAGCATCCCATACGGGCACCGGTTCAAGTCTTAGCTGTTGGACTTCCAATCCAGCTTCCCACTGACGTGCCTGGGAAAGCAGTGGAAGATGGTCCCAGTCTTGAATCCTTGCTACTGACAGGGAAGACCTGGATGAAGCTCTTGGTTTCAATCTGGCCTGGTCCTAGTTTTACGGACATTGAGAAGTGAACCAGCAATGGGTGCTCTCTCTCTCTCCTCCTCCTAATTCTGCTTTTCAAATACATAAATCTTAAAAAACATAAAAATGATAGTAGTCGGTTGTTGCAGCAGTTAAACTTCCCTCTTCGATTGCCCAAACCCCTACTGTTGTGTCAGATTTAATTCTCACCTCAGCTTCCAACCCCAGCTTCCTGCTAATGCCTACCCTGGGATGCAGTGGGGATGACTCAAGGACTCCAAACTGAACTACCAACTCTACTTGGGCCTGCCCCGGCTCAGACTGTTGTGATCTGGGTGAGGCAAGATCTCTCTGTGTCTATGTCTGTCTGTTTCTCTGCTTTTCAAACAAAAATTAATACACATTTTCTAAAAATAAAAATATGTAAAACAAGGTACAGTGTCTGATATGCAAAATGTGTTACAGTCTTAAAATTCCAGATATTTCACAGCCTCGGTGAACAACTAATCTAAACTGATAATGGGCAATGAAAAGCCACTAAAGCTGTCCTAATGTTTAACTCTGTGATTCATTCTTTCATCAGCAAGTATTTGCTGTGTGCCAGACCATGGGCATTGGCAGTAATTCTGTGAATAGGAGACTGGTCCTTCAACACATTCTAGGAAAATGTAATGCACTTAATATTGAAGCTACTGATTTAGAGTAAGGGCTGACCCTTCCATAGAACATTTAAAGTTTATCTAGGTGGAATCCACATAATATAATCATTTGAAGAGACCAAATCAATGGACTTGACACCCTCACAATGCTGTTTAGCCACAATTTACATTCAGCTCCACACATTTCCACATCATTACAAAATCAAACCCCATTACCCATGAAGCAGATTTTCCCCCTAGAAAAAATGGTTAGTTTTAACTACTGGTATTTTCAAGTCAATCCATATCCAATTAAGGATAAGTCTATCTTCTTAAGAGTAGCAGCACATCTCTTTGTAAAACTGTAGTATTTAACTTGAGACAGCTGGAAATCCAAAGAAAACTCAGATCCTTCCCGAGAAATGTACTTTCAAAGACAGCTTGCAGCATCCTGCAGTGCCACAGCCAACAGTCTAAGGAAACAGCGGGGGCCGTTCTGAGGTGTCAAAAAGAGCAGACAGGGGTACTAGGAGCTGAGCCTCCTATTAGAAACACACAGCACTTGGGTGGGCCTGGCGAAGTGGCGCAGTGGTTAAGGTCCTCGCCTTGCACGCCCGGGATCCCATATGGGTGCCGGTTCTAATCCTGGCGGCCCCGCTTCCTTTCCAGCTCCCTGCTTGTGGCCCGGGAAAGCAGTCAAGGACAGCCCAAAGCTTTGGGACCCTGCACCCGTGTGGGAGACCCAGAAGAGGATCCTGGCTTCGGTTTGGCATAGCATCAGCCCGCTGCGCTCCCTTGGGGAGTGAATCAATGGACGGAAGATCTTCCTCTCTGTTTCTCCTCTCTGTATATCCGCCTTTCCAATAAAAAATAAAATAAATCTAAAAAAAAAAAAAAAAAGAAACACACAGCACCACTCCAAATACCAAGAGTGCCTCTGAGAAACACTACAACTTCCCCAGGTGTGCTTAAAGTATCACTATCACTCACTGTTCATTTTACATGAATTTGCATTTCTTATTCAACACCAATTCGGGAAATCTTCCCACAGAGAAAAGTGAAAAATGATTAGTAATTACAATTAAGATCTAAACATCATATCATCACATGGCTCAAGAAACTGTTAGCAGCACGGAACTGGGCTGGGCTGCTGTTCTGTGGGAGACGGCAACTGTACTTCACGTTTCCACTTAGATGATGCTATGTAGCGGGGGTCACTTGCTGGGGTTTGCTCAGGAGTTACCACTAGACAAAATGAAATGACAGTAAACAGTGTCATTTGCAAACAAAGACAAATGAGACTAAACTACATATTTTCAAGTCCTGTCTTAAAAAAAACAGAGCCACTGGGGCCTGGTGCTTCTGCCTGAGGTGTTGACATTGGATATTAGCACCAGTTCCTAGCTGTTCCACTTCTGATCCTTCCTGCTTATGGTCTGGAAAAGCAGGGAAAACTGGCTCAGAGCCTTGGGACACTGAACCCACGAGGGAGACCCAGAGGAAGCTCGGCTTCAGATTGGCCCAGCTCTGGACATTGCAACCATTCAGGGAACCAGAGGATGGCAGATTTCTCTATAACTCTGCCTTTCAAATAAAGATAAATCTTTAAAAGCAAAACAACAACCCATGGCATCAATAACTTATTCAAAAAATAAAAAAGATAATTGTTATACATATTAATACATTTGTAGATAAAATGAAATGCCTGAGATTTCATTCAATATAATATTGGCATAAGGCAGCAGGTGAACATGGAGGAACACGACTACTCCGAAGTTGGTAACTGTTAAATAATTAGCGCATGGGGATTTGTTTTATTTTCTTGTATCTTTATTTGAAAACCCTAACAAAACATTTAACAAAGCAAGGCTACAAATCTGTAACAAGCATGTGTTTCCCTAGACTTTACTGTGAATTTATTGTTCAATCTCAACAGGTATTCCTAAATACTCAGGGCATTGCGGATCTACAGTTTCCACAATACAGGATACCCAACCATTGAGGTGAGTATTCATAAGGTTTAAAATTTTTCCTTCACTCCAGGTGCAGACACTTAACATGTTACAAACCTTTAGATTTTCAAATCCATGGTGTTAAGTTACATTAGGTTTGAAGTTCCCCCTTGAACCCGAGTTCATATAAGTCAACTGCGACCTAACTTTACAATGCATAAACAAACCTGACTTGAGCACATTCTAACAGCTGAGTCTCAATCACATGATGCAAGACAAATGTCTCATCCCCTGCCCACCCCCAATAGCGTCAACACAGCTCGGTGACCAATCAAGGTGCTTCCGCGTGCCATTTCCCCTGCTTTTCTGCCATTAACTGTTCCCTGTCCGCAACACTCTCTGAACATCTGGCTTTAACTGCTGCATGAGAGATGAATCATTCTTTGCTTAAACTCTGTCAACTTTAATTTCTCTGAAATTTTATTTTTTTTCAAAGATTTATTTTATTACAAATATAAGAATATTTGTAATAAGATATACAGAGAGGAGGAGAGATAGAGAGGAAGATCTGTCCGATGATTCACTCCCCAAGTGAGCGCAGCGGCCAGTGCTGTGCCAATCTGGAGCCAGGAGCCAGGAGCCAGGAGCCAGGAGCTTCCTCCAGGTCTCCCACATGGGTGCATGATCCCAAAATTTTGGGCTGTCCTTGACTGCTTTCCCAGGCCACAAGCAGGGAGCTGGATGGGAAGTGGAGCTGCCGGGATCAGAACCGGCACCCATATGGGATCCTGGTGTGTTCAAGGCAAGGACTTAAGCCACTAGGCCACGCCACCGGGCCCAATTTCTCTGAAATTTTAAACAATAGTGCTAACCGCTTTTGAGAACTGGCAGGAGACACCTAGCTGCTGCTGAAAACTCATGAAACATATTAAAGACCTTTAGATCAAAAAGCAATAAACTGAGCTGGGTGGAGTCTTACAGAATAATCCTATGCCTGCACTTTCAGCATCCCACATGAATGCTGGTTCTAGTGCTGGTTGCTCCACTTAGGATCCAACTTCCTGTTAATGGCCTAGGAAAGCAGCACAAGATGGCCAAGTACTTGAGCTCCTGTATGTAAGTGGGAGACCTGCTCCAGTCATTACAGCTCCTTGAGGAGTGAACCTGAAGAGGAAAGATCTCCCTCTTTAGGCAATTCCTTCAAGTAAAATAAGTAAATCTTAATAAGACAGAAACAAACAAAAGCAACAAACCATGTAACAAACTCAGACGGGTCAAGTGATCTGTCCCAAATCAAAAAGCAGGAAAGGTCAGCAGGCAGACCCTGACACTTCTCCTAAATATAGTAGACTGCATCTTAGAGAAGAAAGGTAAGCCCACAACACAGGTATAAAATCAAAACCCAGGGGCGAGCACGGTGGCACATCAGGCCAACCCTCCACTGTGTGACACTGCCATCCCATATAAGTGCTGGCTGGATTCTCTCAGCTGCTCCATTCCTGATTAGCTCCCCGATTATGACCTGGGAAAGCAGCAGTAGACGGCCCGAGTCTTAGGCACCTGCACCCTTGTGGAAGACCCAGAAGAAGCTCCTGGTTTCAAATCAGCTCAACTCTGACCTTTGTGGCCATCTGGGCACTGAATCAGCAGAAGAAAGACCTCTATCTATCCCTCTCTATAAAATCTGCCTTTAAAATATATAGCAAAATCCTAAGAGGGTTCCAAGGCAGGTTTCCAAAAAAACAGTCATACCACTCTTCACTGAAACAAGTATTACTAACTTTTAGTATGAGCTGAAGCCCACAAAAGAGCGTAAACCGACTGATTTTCTCAGAAAGGAACTGCAAGGCCTGCATTGTGACACAGCAAGTAAAGACTGGCTGTGATGCCGGCATCCCATAGGGGTGCTTGAGTTCATGTTGTGGCTGCTGTGTTTACAATCCAATTCCGTGATGAATGGCCCAGTGCTTGGGCCCTTTCCATCTGTGTAGGAAAACTGAAGAAGCCCTTGGTTCTAGCCTGGCTCCACCCCGGCCATATCAGCCACTCGGAGAGGGGACCACTAAGGTCTCTGCCCCTCCTCCCCTCACCACCTCACACAATTTCTCTTTCAAATAAATAAATCTCCCTCCCCCCTTTTTAAAAAGAGAACTGCTATCACTTTATCAGAAGCCTTTCACTGTAATGAGTTTGATTCAGACAGGCTGAGTACATCCCACTGTAAAACTAAAAGAAAAATCTCCGTAGTGGACTCACGTAATCGCGACGTTGCTCCCATCTATGACAATGTGCTTCAAGTCTGTTCTCCCTGGTTCATTTTTTAATTCCAGCTTGTATGGTACTTTCAGAGTGTCTCGAAACCTCTGAACCCCAGTAACCGAGGAGTCAATGTTATCAGAAGACCCCGCAAACATCACATCACGAGCTGGAGGTGACACGTGAGGTCGTGGCATAGGGGGCGAGAGGGGAGGAGGAGGGTTGGACTGAGGAGAGCTACAACATCCCAAATGTTTTTCACAGGCAGCTTTCATGTTATTTGGAAGCAAGGATTCTGTTTGTTGCTGCAAACCATTTTCAGGATAAACTGAAACTCTGGGCTGGTGAGTTGATGTGCCTCTGGAGACAAAACTGACCTCTTTGGGGCTTGAAGGTGCAGCAGAAGGTGATAGGCCATCAGTTTCAAGGTCTAAATGACAAGTGTAGTTTTGGTTTGAACCCCAGAGTTCATGTTTCTGCTCGACTGGCACTGTTCCAAAAGCATTAAGTCGGCAGTTTGAGGTACATGGCTTAGGTTCTGCTTTGAATGGGAACTGAGAAAATTTCTCTGCCGTGTTTTGCTGTGAGTGACCCTGTGCTTTCTTTGGAGTGGATTCTTCTGTAAGTTCGTTTATGCTGCTATAAACACTTTTATTTTTGGTTTTGCTGCTCTCTGGATGCACAGTCCCAGGTGAAAATTCTCTACTTTCTTGGGACCTTTTATTTTCCTTCTCGATTTTTTCTAAGAGCAATAATGGCTCAGTGGATGGCCCATATTCCTTAATGACCTTTTCAACAATTTCCTGGGAATAGCCCATGGTTTTAAAAAAGTTGACAAGGATGTTGTATTCCATTTCCTCAGTAGTGTCTTTTATGTCTAGCACTTCAGAATCTGAGAGGTCAGCTGCGGCTGGACCATCGTGCACAACCTCCCCTGCTCGAACATTCTCCAGAGAAAACTGTTTCTTGGTGTGCCTTTCCTCAGAATCAGAAGACCTCCTTTTGTGACAAATTCTGTCTTTGGAAAGCGCCTCTTCACCTGGGCTCAGACCATTCACTGGGACAAAAAGCACATCTGGTGAATTGGACAACACTGAGTCCATTTGTTTTGTGAGCTCAGAAACAGGAGTGCCAGCTTTATTTCTTGCCTCTTCACGGAAAACCTCCTCCTCTCGGGAAATATTGAGTGCTGGGCTGGCATTTTGTGTAAACGGTGTGTGTTGGGAATCTCGAACTTCAGTAAAGTCATCACCTCCTGTTTCAAACAGATTCTCCTCGCTTTGTGTGAGTGTCAAAAGTTCTTTTTTCAAAGAAGTGGGTAAAATCAACAAGTCCATTGTGTAACTGTCTGCACGAGCTTCAACAAATTGTTTGAATTCCCTTTTCACCTCTGATTCTTTCTGGATGTTGGGTATGTTCTCATTGCTTTCAAAGAGCTTCACAAACTGCTGGATGTGACTCCTTGCCATGACCACGGCCTCAGCACTGCCTCGAATACCAACAAGGCCAATATCCAGAATGCAGAGGTCAGCACACGTATCCTGAATCAAGCTCTTCAGGAACAGGCTCTGTGCTCCAACAAAGATGCAGTGCATCGCTTTGGGATAACATTCTCTTTCTTCTAATTCAGGTTCACAGATTCCTTTAATATATTCCTGTAAAAAAAAAAAAGTCAAGAAATTAGATCACTTTGCAAAAGCTCCTTATAGCACATAGTTAATCACATATGCAGGGAGCAGGCACTGTGGTGCTGTGGGTTCAGATGCTGGGATGACAGCTTTCACTATCAGGATGCCTGGGATCAGGTGCCGCCTCTGTTTACTCTCCAACTTCCTCCTAATAGGCCTGGGAAGGCAGCGGATGATTGCCCAAACCCCTGGGTTCCTGGCTTGGGCCTGGCTCAGCTCTGGCTGCTGCAGGCATTTGGATCGAATTCACAGATTTTTGTCTATCCTTCTCTCTGTCGTTCCACCTGTCAAGTAAATAAATCTTTTAAAAAAATGATATACAATTGTAAATGTCAAGCTGGCTTTACAAAAAATCATAATTGCATTTTCAGAAAATATATTTTAAGTAAAATATTTGTAATAACAAATATATGTGCTGCTTAACTGAACTTATATCCTGTATAACTTTGTGTTCCAAGAAATATCAGGCTGCTAAAGTGGAACATACATCTACGGATAAAAGAAGCAGAGGATGTTGGACAGTACACTGCTCCCCGTCACTGGCATGGAAAGAGGCCTATGTGAGGTTAGAAAGGGAAACAGATGAATGAAGCAAGCAAATAAAACACACACAAACATTTTGTTGATACAGCAACTTCTCGTTCTGGAGTTACTATGGCTGCTGTAATCTTGTTCAAGTCACCAAACCCCTTTACCCTCACTTTCCTCAACTGTGACAGAGATAAGCATAGCATAATTAGGGTTTCAGGGTGCTCACTACATAACAATACTATTGCACTACCAGAGAAAACTTCCTGGACAGATAAGTGTGAGAAATGAGCTTAGCAAATCCTGCTCTATAAATCAGAACGGCACTCCCGAATGATGCTGTGTCAGAGTTCACCTGTGCAGCACCAATCAAAACACTTGCACCTATTACACACTTGCAGTGTTGGCAGCTACATAGCTCCAGTTAGACTGCATATTCAAGTATGAACGCATCTGTTGTATGTCTGTAATTTTACCCCACCCTGACGTGATGGAAGAAAACCCCACAGCAGCAGCCCCCTGTGAGCCTTCTGAGAGTCAGTTACTTCTTTACTCCCACTTTACCGTCTGTGGCCCTAGTACTGCTACAGAGCAGCTTTTTCAAAGGCCAGCTTGCTATTTTTTATAACATAGTAACTAAGTTCAGCAAAGGATAGTAACTGATCACCCCTTTTCCCAAATGTGGAAGGGAAGTGCTCAATTTTGATGTTAGCTCCCTGAAGATTTCCAGGACAACATTTGGCCTCCATTTGCTTAAAGTTATGCTGTATTTGGATTGTGATTCTAGGTTTTTAAAAATTGTATTCTTAAAGATGTATTTATTTTTATTTCAATGGCAGACTTATAACAGAGAAGGAAAGACAGAAAGCAGGCTAGGCTTTCTGTCCACTAATTCATTCCCCAAAATACTGCAATGGCTACAGCTGGGCCCAGAGGCCCAAACACACAGGGCATCCTTCATTGCTTTCCCAGGTCATGAACAGGGAGCTGGATTGGAAGTTGAGCAGCTGAGACTCAAACTGGCACTCATATGGGATGCTCATGCCATAAGTAGAGCCTTAATTGGCTATGTCCTATGTCAAGGGTCTTTTTGTTGATTTCCCCAAATAAAATGTTAGAACCATAAGAACTTACCAAGGTAATATAAAGACCCTGGGCATCCTTCACTTTGCTCCATTGAAGCATTACACCTTATGTAACCACAGTTAACCATGAAAGCCAGGCAGACAGTGGCACAGGGTGTGTACAGCACTCTGAGTAACTTTGTGAACAGACGGCCATGTTTGTGAAAATTTAGAGCTTTCTAATATCACAAGACTTCATGTTAACCCCACATAGTAATAGCTATCTACTTTCTACCATCTATCCCTACCCTCAGCCACCACTAATCTGTTTCCTTTCTCTAATTCTGTTATACCAAGAATGCAACATAACTGCAAGTAGAGAACTATGCTTGTGAGGTTGGCTTTTCTCACTCAACAGCGTGACCTCACAATCCATGCATGTTGCTGCGCATTGCAGCAGTGCATTCCATGTTATCACTCAGTAGTACTCCTAAGTATGGGAAAGCTATAGTTTCATTTTCCTTCTTTTTAAACTATTTTCCTACTGAGGGGCTTTTTGGTTGTTAGTTTGATGCTATCACAAACGATGTTGTTACAGTCAGTGGTGAAATTATTTGGCCTCAAGGTTTCATTTTTAAATAATTAACATTAGGAGTGCAACTGCTAAGTAATTTAATTATTTCATTTTTCAAAGAACTGCTTTTCTATTTTCCAGAATGGCTATCCCATTTTACTCCCTTCAAAATTGGATGAGAGGACTCCCAGATCCTCACAAAGGACTATCAGTATGAGCACCAAGGACAACATCTCAACTGCCAAGGAGACCACAGGGAAATGGAGTGCCTTCAGAGGCTGAGAACCTTGAGGTCACCCACCACCATTTGGATCTCCCAATGGGATGGAAGAAGCCCAAATCCTGCCTTGCAGGATACAAGGTCATCGGAACAACAACCAGGAGCACTGAGAGGTCCGCAGAAACAGAAGAACAGTAAACTTCCTTTGGGACTAGGAAGGGGAGCTTTCTCTGGTCCTTGCCTAGTTCCGACTTTGGGTCCCCACCCTCTCTCGCAATAACCATCAGGATCATTCCAGAAACCCCTCAAAACAAACAAACAAAAAATCTAGAATACACAGACAGAGAACAACAAGGAAAGCTTGAAACCAGACAGGAAATGGTCAGTGTGGATGCACTTACACCTCACTGGGTGGGACACAAAGATTAGTTACTCCTCACTGGGGTATCGAAGATTTCTCTGCACACCCCTCTTAAACCTAAACTGTTGACAACCTAAACTGTTGACATATGTCTTGTTAGAGTTATAGAGTTAGACTACCTGAAAAATAGCCAGGTTCAGCAAAATCATGCTTCAATGCTATAAACTGCTAAATACTAAAATTAAAATAGACACCAGACAGCTGAATAGTAATCTATGGCCATTTTAAGGTGTATAAAGCCCGGTTGCATATAAACTAATTATTGAAATGTCAATGAAGAAGTCACAGGATGTGGTTCAGAACTTGCATTCCTTTTTTTTTTTCTTTTAACATATTGGTTACTCAACATCATGTCAATTAATTCCATGTTATAAATTGTTACTGATGTTATGTCGGGGCTTTTAATTGATCTGGATGATACTCTGCCGGCTCTACCTTCAGACCAGAGATGGTCTCCCCAAGAAACCATTGAACTTATCTGGACAGTAAGATGCTGGACTTTATGCTTGGTAAATGCTTGCAATGTAAGTATCTCAACCGAATTTGAACTGTAGTAATGCAACAGGGTGGAGGAGTCCACTTAAGCCCAGTGCCTATAAAACTGTGTCCCATAATGCAATGTAATCAATAAAAAAGAAAAAAAATGGATGAGAGAGGGATCCAGTTTTTCTACAACCTTGTCACCTTTTGATACAGTCACCATACTTGGTAACAGTGTGTCTTTTACGGTCTTAACTTACACTTCTTTCCCCAGTGGCTAATGATGTTAACACGCTCCTGTGTGCTGTTGACTATCTTTATATATCCTCTTCAATGAAACATGTTTTGCTTCTGTCCACATCCTAACTTCCTGACTGGATTGCTTTTTCCTGTTGAGTCTTTTTATATTCTAGATATGAGTCTTTTCGCAGATGTGTGGTTTGTAGACATTTTCTCTCTGTTGTCTCATCATCTCTTAACAGGGTATTTCCTGACAGCAAGTGTTCATATTCAAGCGTCATTTTTCAACTGAGTGTCAATTGTGCTTTTTTTTTTAAAGTTTTGGTTTCATGTGTTTGTTGCTGGCATATGGAAATACAACTGATGTCTATATGTTTGTCAGGTACCCCGAGACTTTTATGAACCAAAATTGTTTCTAGTTCAAGGATTTTGTGTGTGCGTTCCTGTGAAATTTCTACGTAGCTATTACATTCTCTGTAGCTGTTCTTTTCTAAGGCACAGGCCTTTTACTTTCACCTTCGATGCTTACTACAGTGGCCAGACATTCTAGCACCATGCTGACAAAAGTGACAGTTGACATGCATGCCTCGTGAAGCACACGATCTCTCCTAATGGAGCTAGAGAGAGATCCTGTGCAGATGTTGTTCCTCGTCTCCTGGGAGCATGCCCACCAGGTGCCAAGTGCTTCATGGCAGCAAATAATGCAATCGTGACATCTGCCCCAGTGTGCTAATTAGGTTGGTTACATACTGGTGAGTTGAGAATACTGAACCACTCTTGTTTCCCTGGAGTAAATGTCCCTTTTGGTCACAGGCATAGTCCCTTTCCTACATGGCTGAATTTTACCTGCAAAATTTTGTGAAGGATTTTTATGTCTTTGACACTGAAGGTCTATAGGGTGTGTGGGTGCGCATGTGCGCCTCTGTCTGGTGTTGGCATCAGGACAACACCTCTACAAACATGTAAGGAAATGTTCCCTCATCTTGCGTTCCTAGAGGTGACTGTGTAGAACTGATACTCACTTTTCTTCAAAACCCTACAGTCAAAACAACCTGGGTCAGGCATCTATTTGTATGGGAGTTTCACCTTGAGGAATTGGTCTATTTCACAGCTAACATGATTGTTTGTAGTAGTTCCTTATCCTTTTCCTACCTTGAGACACCTGTTTCATTCCTGATATTAGTAACTACAGTCTTCCTGCTTATCTGTGTCAGCGCTGACAAGGGATTTGCTCATCTTACTAATCTTCTTAATCAAAGAATGAGCTCATGTATCATTGACCTATAACTTCATAATTAATTTATATTCTTTATTATTTTCCGGCTCCTGTTTGCTAAAGGTCTATTTCCTTGTTTTCTTTTATTTCCCTGAGCAGCTGCCTGCTCATGCTTCTTCTTCTATGTAAGCATCCAAATATTAAAACTTTCCCCCTCACCATTATTTTAGTAGTATCCTCACACTTTCATATGCTACATTTCCACTTTGTTCAATGAATTAAAAAATTTTCTGATCACCCATGAATTATGTGTGTTTAGTTCCTGTCACCTGCTGCTGATATGTTTCCTCTCAGATCATGACACTCTGGGATTTCTTCCAAATTTGTTAAGATTTGCTTTGTAGGGCCTGGAGTGGTAGCATAATGGCTGAACCCTCACCTTGCATGTGCCAGGATCCCATATGGGCGCCGGTTCTAACCCTGGCAGCCCGACTTCCCTGCTTGTGTCCTGGGAAAGCAACTGAGGACGGCTCAAGACCTTGGGACCCTGCACCTGTGTGGGAGACCCAGAAGAAGCTCCAGGTTCCTGGCTTGCGATTGGTGCAGCTCCAGCTGCTGCGGCCACTTGGGGAATAAACCAGCGGATGGAAGATCTGTCTCTCTTCATTGCAAATGTGACATTCCAATAAAAACTTTTTAAAATAATAAAAATAAATTTGTACATTAAAAAAAAAAAAACAGATTTGCTTTGTGGCCGGAAGAGGTCTATACGGATAGTTCTGTGTATCCTGTGGTTGTTGAGCACCTGCTCTACAAATGTTTATCAGAGTCTACTCGGCTCAAGACGGTGGTGTTGAGTTCTACAGTTTCGCCACTCTTTCATTTAGTGATTCCAGAAAGTGTAAAGAAGGGTATGGAAGCTTTCAGTTACGACTGGATTTGTCAATTTCTTCTTTCAGTTTTTACTTAAGGTATTTTGCAGCTTCAGTGTTAGAAACATACACGTCTTCTTGGTGAACTGTCTTCTGATGTAATCTACGGTCATTTTCTTTGCTCTGAAGGCCACTATGGTAATACTGTCACTTCAGTTTTGCTCTGATTAATGTTTGTATACCATATGCTCTTCCCCTTTGTAGCATTTGACAGCCAAACAGCCATAGATTTCTCATCCACTGGTTCCTTCCCCAAATGCCTATCAACAGCTGGGGCTGAGATCAGTGCCAAAAGCTGAGGTCACTAACCAGGTTGTCCACATGGATAGCAGGAATCCAATGACTGAACCATGCCTCTCAAGGTCTATATTGTTAGGAAAACAGCCAGGAACTTGGAGCATGGTTTCAAGCTCAAGAAATTCCTGTATGTGATGATGCAGGCATCTCAACTGCTGGACTAAACACTCACTCCTCTGCCTTCAATTCTAATGTGCCTACATTATTATAAATGAAATATTTCCTACAGATATCACACAACATGTTAATGTATGTTTAATCAGAAAACCTTTATCTATTTGCTCTGACATCCTTACTGGTTAAGTCTGGACTTGACTATACCACTCTATTTTGTTTTCTACACTTTATTTCTTTTTTTGCTTCCTTTTGCATTGCAGTTTTTAATATCCCAATCTTTTCAAGGCATTTTTTTTTTTGCTCTATTTCTGCTTTTTAAGTAGCCATCCTAGCAATTACAGTATATCTTTACAGTCCACTTAGCAGCAATCAAAATGATCTCAACAGCAATGCTTACAACTTCACCAGCTATACTAATCTTAACTTTTTGTATCTTCCAATGCTGTGTCCTCTGTGGGAGGCCTTCACGCCTGGAGCGCGCCTTTCACACGCAGGCCCCCGACCCAGGCACAGACTGATGGGCAAAGTCTTTGTTTGAGCTGTCCTAAACCCACGCACGGCTAGGTACCAGACCACCAGTTAAGAATTTCTACAGTCTGTAAAAATCGCTCACACTAGCCAATCTTACACTGTTGACCCTTCCCCACCTCCTGACCAAAACCCCGCAGCTTTCCTGTGGTTCCATGTGGTGTGGCTTTCTCCATTACTTCAGTGACTGGCCTTCATGTTATCACACAGTCACATCTGAAAATCCCAATTTAAAACAAAGCATACATCATTTTCATACTTTAATTTTTTAAAAGATTTATTTCATTTTTATTGGAAAGTCAGATATACAGAGAGGAGGACAGAGAGAGAGGAAGATCTTCCACCCACCGATTCACTCCCCAAGTAGCTGCAACGGCCGGATCTGAGTCAATCTGAAGCCAGCAGCCTTTTCTGGGTCTCTCACATGGGTGCAGGGTCCCAAGGCTGCATGCCCTCAACTGCTTTCCTAGGCCACAGCAGGGAGCTAGATGGGAAGCTGGGTTGCTGGGATTAGAACCGGCACCCATATGGGACCCTGGCACATGCAAGGAGAGGACTTTAGCTGCTAGGCTATTGCGCTGGGCCCGATACTTCTCTACTCATCTTTCTTCATGTTATCGTTAAGTTTTTTTTCAAAGATTTATTTTATTCGTATTACAAAGTCAGATATACAGAGAGGAGAGATAGAGAGGAAGATCTTCCGTCTGATGGTTCACTCCCCAAGTGAGCCGGTGCTGTGCCCATTCGGAGCCAGGAGCCAGGAGTTTCCTCCAGGTCTCCCACACAGGTGCAGGATCCCAAAGCTTTGGGCCGGCCTCAACTGCTTTCCCAGGCCACAAGCAGGGAGCTGGATGGGAAGTGGAGCTGCCGGGATTAGAACCGGCGACCATATGGGATCCTGGTGTGTTCAAGGCGAAGGCTTTTTGCCAGTAGGCCACACTGCTGGGCCCTATAGTTATAAGTTGCATGTACATATATTTTAGAAATATCCTCCATGTTATGTTTCTTTTCAGTGACCAGACTCATTTTAAAAGCTTTCAGGAAGCAGCAGAAACAAATCTGTAATATTTATCCAAATATTTACCATTTCTGTCTTTCAGCAATCCCCTAGCAGAACAAGTTGAAGGTAATGACTGCCTTTGTTTTTCTTCAACTGAAATTTCTTACCTCACTTTCTTGAAGGATGATAATATAGCCTTTCTGGTCAACAATTCTGTTCCTTCACTACTGTACCACTTCCTTCTGGGCTCCTGAGTTGGTGAAGAGAAATCTGCAGTCTTTAACTGTTAATTCCCTCCCTCCCACACGACATGTGAGCTCTGGGTGCTTTCATGATCTTTGTCTCTGGTTTTTAACAATGCGCTCAGCATGCGTCTGGGTACGCAGCTCTGGGTTTATTCTGTTGGTGTTCAATGAGCTTCTCAAAATACTGTGTTTCCATCTTTGACCAAACTTGGGAAGTCTTTAGCAATTACTTCTTCCAATATTTTTTTTTCAGTACCCCATTCTTTCCTTCTCTTAACCCTACATAATGGACTGGGTAACTTTAAATCTTCAAGATCACGGGCTCTTTCCTAATATCAGTATTTTAAAAATTAAGTCCAACTAGCGAGTTTTTATTTAATTATTGCATTTTTCAGCGCTAACCTTGTTAAATTGGATCTTCTTGTTTTCTGTTGAAGTCTGAACTTTTCCTATTGATTTTAACAGTATTTAGGACTATCCACTGGGGTATTAGTCTGCCTTTATCCAGTAACTCCAACATCTGCACCTTCTCAGCACTGCTGTCCACCGTCTCTTCGCCTACGGGCTGAGATTTTCCTGTTCACTTGCTGGCTTCCGGTCCTGGGCTGCTCCGACTGTGCAGTCTTTCATACCTTGCAGGCACCTGGCATTCTTCTTTCAGTTCTTCAGAAGAAAATGAGAGGAGGGCTTCATTACCTCATCCTATGCGTGCATCTTTCCTTTTTCTCTAAGATTTATTCATGTTTACTCGAAAGGCAGATTTTTTTTTTAAGATTTATAAATTTTTATTGGAAAGTCAGTTATACAGAGAGGAAGAGAGATAGAGAGGAAGATCTTGCATCAGATGGTTCACTCCCCAGGTGGCCGCAATGGCTGGAGCTGCACCAATCCGAAGCCAGGAGCTCTTCCTGGTCTCCCACACAGGGGCAAGGTCCCAAGGCTTAGGTCGTTTTCAACTGCTTTCCCAGGTCACAAGCAGGGAGCTGGATGGGAAGTGAGGCCACCAGGACTAGAACTGGCACCCAAATGGGATCCCAGCGCATTTGAGAATGTTAGCCAATAGGCTACCACACTGAGCCCCGAAAGACAGATTTCACAAAGAGAGGAGACACACAGAGAGGTATCTCCCATCTGCTGGTTTACTCCCCAAATGGCTGTAACAGCTTGAGCTGAGCAGATTTGAAGTGGAGAGCCAGGATCTTCTTCAGGGTCTCCCACGCAGGTTCAGAGGCGCAAAAGCTGGAGTTATCTTCTACTGCCTTCCCAGGCCATAAGCAGGAAGCAGGATCGAAATGGAGCAGCCGGGACTAGAACCAACACACATATGAGATGTTGGCACTTACTGGTGGAGAATTAGCTTGTGTGCACCACGCTGGCCCCTATCTGTACTGCAACTGTGCCTGGGTCTGGCAAGAATACAGACAGTGGTGGCTGTCCCACAAGCCTAGCTCCCATCACCACAGACTATCTGGGGTCTGGGGTATGTGTGAATGAAGGAAAGAAAACAGTCAAGTTTTTCTCACTTTGAGTGTCAGGTGTTCCAATTTCCGCCTCTTGATCCCAAACCAGCAGGTTCCTCCCGGTGCTCGCTCCATGTCTTGGTGCCCATTTCCACTCTGAGGCTGAGCTGTCCATTGGCTGGTACTTTGAAACCTGGTCTTCTTTCTCAGTCAGCTTGCTACTGTTCACTGTTCAGGGTTTTCAAACAGCTGCTCCCCTAATTCTGCCTGGTTCTACACCTCAATTAGGTGAGACAGAGAGTATAGTTTGCACTGACCTTATCCCATCTGGAAGTGAAACTTTCTAGGTGCCTGTGTCCTTAGGTGTTGCTGCCTGTCTAAATCAAGCACACAACTGAATGCACAGAAGGTAAACACTATTTCGACAGCTGCGGAGTCATTCTCACAAAGAGCATCCTACCTTGTCAGTGGGCCGCCAGTAACAGCCAAGCAGATGTTCTCCAGATAAAAGGCCTGTAAAACTCTCAAAAACCCAGCGAATCCCCTGATACACGATCTAAGTCTACCTATCAACAAATTCTGTCCGGACTCCCAGCATCCAATTCACTTTTAAGTTTTGTATGAAACATAAAACATGCTCCTGTTGGAAGACAAGCCCGAATACGAAAGGCAGAACACAGAGAAAACAGCAAGAACCTAGTAACGTAGAGTGCAGAGGAAAACCGCTGCAAAATTTCACTGCTTTTTAACAGACAGGAGACAGTACTGAATTCCTAAGACTGAAAATAAGTGGAAAGCAAATTTCACAAATGGATAAAACCAAAGAAGATAAAAAGCCTAGGAAGACACAGGCACTGCGGTGCTGCAGCTATCCAGATCCGACAGTGGAGTGCAGCTCCAGTCCTGACCATTCTCCCCAATCCGGCCTCCCTGCTAACGCTAGTGAAAAGTGCCTGGTGACCAGGTGACACAGGTGACAGCTCAAGGCTCCTTCAGCCTCTGCTTTCCCTGTGGCTTCTGGTTTTGGCCTCGCTCAAGCCTGGCTACTGTGGGTATTTGGGGGAGTGAACCAGCAGACAGAAAATTCTTTTGCTCTTTATCTTTCTCTGTCTTCAAGTGACTAAACACTTTTTTAAGCTCCAGAAAAATTAAAAGCCATGCCAGAGAGAAAAGAATGCAGTACAGGACTTGGCTCTCTAGTCACATTTAGGTGAGTCAGAATTAGGTAAACTGTACTCTTGGAAAGAAAATTTAAAAAAAAAAAAAAAAAAAAAAAAAAAAAAAAAGGAAAAAAAGGAGGAGGGACACCAAGCATGACAGCCTAGTGGCTAAATCCTCATTTTGCATGCACCAGGATCCCATATGGGTGCCAGTTCGAGTCCCGCCTGCTTCATTTCCCATTCAGCTCCCTGCTTGTGGCCTGGGAAAGCAGTAGAGAACAGCCCAAATCCTTGGGACCCTGCATCCGCGTGGGAGACCCGGAAAAGCTCCTGACTCCTGGCTTCAGATTGGCTCAGCTCCAGCCGCTTCAGTCACTTGGGGAGTGAACAACTGGATGCAAGATCTTTCTGTCTCTTCAGATTGTTTTGATTGGAAAGGCAGATTCACAGAGGAGAGCTGGAGCCCAAGGAAGCCAGGAGTTCCCTCTGGGTCTCCCATGTGTCAGTGATTTTCCAGATCACAAGCAGGAAATGCCGCAGTCAGGACACCAGGTGGACAATAAGCTTAATACATCACTGTGTCAGCCCAGACTCTGTTCTTCAATTCCAAAAAAACGTTATAGGAAAAAAAAAAAAAAAAAAAAGAGAAGCGTTGCCTTACTTCTTTTAAAGAAAAATAATACTTCAAATCGACAAGGAATAGCAATACACTCTTCACAACTAAAAAGTCATCATTAGAAACAACAGCTAAACACAGTAAGAAGCAGGGACCTCTAAAAGGGAGAGTTAAGAACAGTAAACTGCTGTTCTTAGATAATTTTTCTAGTTGATTTTCTGTTTTAATCACGTGCTTAGATCATTTTGGTACACTCCCCATCTGCTAATTTTAATTTAAAAAAATTTAAAGTGGGGGCCAGTGTAATGGCATAGTGGGTGAGCTCCCATCAGTGCTGGTTCATGCTCCAAATGCCCACAATGGTCAGGACAGAAGCAGGCCAAAGCAAGGAACAAGTACTTAATATAGGTCTTTCAAGATTCAAACTCTTGAGCCATCTCACCTGCTCAGGGTCTGCATTAGCAGCAAGCTAGAATCAGACTGTAGCTACACTTGCAACTACAACTCTGACATGGGACTCAGGTGTCCTAACCTGACATCTCAAACACCCAGTTGCAACATCTGCTGTTTAAATTAAAAACCCGGCTAACCTGCTATGCTGTGACTCTGTTTCACTTTTCTTTTCCTTTCTTTTTTTTTTAAACTGGAAACACCAGCACAATGGAGGTGGAGTGGGGACATACAAGGCAACTTCCCTTTCATAAGGTAAAAGGAATTTCTATTAGTCCCCTCTACAAATTCAGTGCTTCTCAGATGTATGTTTAACAAGCCCAGAGGGAAACTCCTGGCAATTTCTGCTGCTCAGGACATGGAAAAACCCAGGTACAATCAAAGAGGCTACTCAAGAGGCTGCACGTCTGACCCGGAGACAGGTTTCTCTGCACTGTTGCTCACCATCTACCAGCTCTTACTGGAGGCGGCCGCTCTCCAGATTACATGTCCCCAGCAGCACAGGGTGCTACCCGCAAGGCTTATGGGAGCAAATGACAACTGACAGCCCAGACACAGGGCCAAGATCTAGGGAGACACACGGGCTGATACCACACCAACTCTTAGAGGTGGATCTGACATATTTTGCCAGCTGCAAGAGTATCACTGTGGCAGGACCACAAATCATAAGATACACACACTGACCGTGAACACTGAGGAAGCAGAAGCTACGCTCACAGGGAAAGAATAACTTTCAAATGGCCTAAATGGCTCAAACCACTCATTTTCAACCCTGGCCACACACTAGGATTTAAAAATTTTAGGGGTGAGGATGAAGGGACACATGCATAAATTGTGTTTGGTGTTCTAAGAGAAAAGAAATAAAAATTGGGTTCAGCATTGCAGCACTGTGGGGAAAGCTGCTACCTAGAATGCCAGCAGCCCATGTGGGTGCTGGTTCATGTCCCGGCTGCTCCACTTCCGACCCAGCTCCCTGTTACCCGCCTGTGAAAAACAGGGAAGATAGCCCCAAGAAGACGAAGCTCCCGGTCGCTGGCGTCAGCCTAGCCCCATGCTGGTCATTGCAGGCATCTGGGGAATGAACCAGCAGATGGAAAAGATCAGTCTTTCCTAATTCAGACATTCAAACAAAACAAAAATGACCAGCTCCAATAGCTTGCATGTGATCAGGAAAAGCATCAAGGACGGCCTTCAATCACAACATAATGCTCTAACACTTCTGCCTGACACTACTGATAACATTCTCCACAGTGAAGCTGCACATTAAAATGTTGACTTTCGTCTGGCAGAGACATCAGGCAGCTAGGTTTGGCAGAAAACATAACAATAAAGGCTGTGATTCTCACTGCTTTGTAAGATCGAAGACAGTTTGTATTTAACTGAGCAGTTTTATTCCAACATTTTATTGCTCACACACGGTGTCTCAGGTGCTCTCTGGACCACATTTCCTTTCCGCTGGTTCCCTCAGTTATGAGGCACCTGTCTAAAAGGCATGCTCATTTTATTTTTAAAACTTTGGCAGTTTTGTATGACCCAAAGTGGACTCACCCGCTAGGTCTGTTAACCTGAGTGGCCCAAGAAGGAGCCCCTCATCAGCTGCTTACAATCAAGCACGCCTTGTCTTGGCTTCCCAAGTGAGTATCAACCAGCAAGAGCAGCTCAGTGGAGCAGTTCCCCATTCTTTTCTTTCCAGGCCGCATTCCTGTTT